AATAATTACTTGTAATTCTATTTGTTGTGTGAAGTTTACTGTCAATACACATCTCAAACGAAAAGCTTAGAGAACCCCCCCAACATATCTCAAATTTATATATTTAAAAGTCTAATTAACTACATTCTGTATGCATCTCAGTATCTTTTCTTCTATGATGACATCTGCCTCATTTATTACTTTTTATGTAACTCCACTAACCTAGAAAAAGTTGCTATAATCAAGGGTTTGAGGAGTACAGTTGCAGTTGTTGATAGAAAATGAAAATAGTACTGAATGTCCCAGACTCTTTCTATTTCTGCATCTTTTATCCCCTGCTAGGAGCTCTGGAATGTACCTCTTGTTTGTGTTTCAACAAGCAGCAATCAAAATGGAGGGAGGGACAGGCAAACTGGAATAAATAGGCAACAGAGGCCATTTTTGCTTTTATCAGATTATGTTGTCTATGTGAAATGGATTCATTTCTGTAGGGCATTCAGTTGCACTGCCCAGCAGTGTAGAAGCTATTAGGATAGTACCAGTTCCACATGCATGACAGAGTAAGAAATATCTGTCATTCCTCTCCCACTTTCCAAACAAACAACATACACACGCAGCGTGCACATGTGAATTCACATAAACATACCATTGCACACATATGCATCATAGTCACAGTACATGCACACACATACACAAAAACCTCATGTGCACTCATGATATTAAATTAATGAACAATCTCTACCAAACATAGTATTGGAGTCTATGCCAGTCTAACAGATTATATCTAACAGATTCTCTGCTCCAGGAATATAGCGGTATACAGAGCTACAACTTTGATTTCTGGTTTTTTTCTCTCTGTTTCATGGATTTCAAACCTGCCATTGAATCTCATACTAATCTATGCCAATACAGTGGCACAATCTGAGACTTCTCACACATTCCATTGTGAAATGAGGTTAGAAGGACAAGCATAGGGCAAGAAATTTCAATGTTTACTGTTTTCTGATTTACTATTTGCATTTTGCTTTCTTCAACTATTTATTCTCTCTTATCTAACTTTTGAAAGTGTTTTGTACCCTCCCTTATTTCACTAAGCATTGTTTAATAGACTAGAATTACGCCTATTAGATAGAAAGTTCTCTGTGATACCAGAGGGGTTTCTCCATAGTAATGTAAGCAGGGTTATTACCACTGAGAGTAACAACTTAGAAAGATACTTCCTGAAAGAATCAGCTACAGGTACCTCTAGATCCCATCACAAACAAGGACCCTACAAAAATAGTCAAGAAAGTAATGCTTAGATAGAGCTTATCAATTAATTTTTTCCACAGTAATCCTTTCTTAATAATAATAATAATAATAATATATTTTAAATAGCTCTGATGATGTCCCAGAGAGTTAAGATGATTCAGAATATTTTATAATCATTTCACTAGTGAAAAAGCCAAGGCTTTTAAGTGCCATGAGATTTGGTCAAAGTTATTGAAAAAATTAAGTAACCAGCCACAATATACTCTTTTGTGACATGTCTGTTTGTGTCTTGCCCACTTTCTGTCGGGTTCCCTGTCTTTTCAAGGTTATTTTGTATGTTTATTTCTTATATATTCTGTAAAAGAGTCCTTTGGCTTATTTTCCTCTCCTTAGCATGTTTTGATAAACTTATTTTAATGGTTGGTGCTTTGTCCTGTGTAAGAAAGTTTTGCATAATGATGTGAAGGTCTTTGTCCACATTACCTTTCACATTTATTTCTTTTTGAGGGTAGTGGAAACTATTTCTTCAGTATAGGTCTGTGGACATCAAATTCTCTCAGTTGTAGTCTCCAAAAAATATTTTATTTCAAATTCAAATTTGAAATTTTTTTTAACACTTCAAAGATGTCATTGCATTATCTCTGGCTTCCATTATTTTTGTTATGAATTTATCTATAAGCCTTATTGTTGTTATTTTGAAGTTAATGGATCTTTATTCACTAGATAACTTTATTTTTTTCTTTAATGTTTGTTTTCAGCAGTTTCACAATGATTAGACTGAGTGATAGTTTTTTTTTCATTAATTTTGCTTGGGAATCATAACAGTCTTGAAACAGTAGTTTGAGATTATATCTTTCATTCATTTTGGCAAATTATCAGACTTATCAGACGTTATCTCTTAAAATATTCCTTTTGCTCCATTTTTACATAAGATAAATCCTATCTCATATGGTTTCTTCACTCTTATCTGCAGTTTTCATCTGCAGTTTAGGCTTTATATCTTTTTCCAACCTAGCTTTTGGCTAACTAACCTCCTCTTCAACTGTGTCTACCAGCTGTCAAAGTCACCTATTGAATTCTTAACTTGTTTTTGTGGGTTTTTTTTTTTCAGTTCTAGAATTTTCATCTGACTTTTGAAAAAGTATCCAACTCTCTGATAAACTACTATGCCATAAAAATTATTCATCTTGGCATCCAATTTCCAAAATACATTCATCGTTATTTAAGCTGCATCTGCAATACCTGGATCTCTGATGTATATCCATATGTCATCTCTTTTATTCTCTTGGTTTTCAGTGACTTGTTCTTGTTCCTCTGAAATGCCAGGTAATTTTCGTATTGAATTCTGGACACTGTGTTTGAAAAACTGTAGAGATAACTTGAGGCTTTTAATCTTCCTCCAGAGAAGATTCACTTTTGCGTCTGACAGTCAGCAGAGCGCTGTAATTCAATCAGGAATTTTATTAATTAAAAGTTAGACTTTAGGGTTTTTTTAAAGAGCTGGTCTATTTCAAATTCATCCTTGCCCCCAGGATGTAACCCTTCAGGGGACCCCACCGAAAACCTGAGGTAGTTAGCAGGGTACCTCTCCTTGGTAGAACCCAACCTTCAAGTTTTGCTCCCTGCCCCAGCCTTACAAAACACCTGCAGGCTCTATTCAACTTCTTGACACATGTGCAATGTCAGCTTTATCATTTTGCATTTCCTTGGGTTTGTCCTGCATTCATGGCACTCTGGGGCCTTACAATGCTATTTTTAAATAATTTATTTGGTGTTTCTAGCTGTTCTCGATAGAGGGTTAGTCTGCATCATGACAGTCCACCTTAGGCAGAATCCCTTTCTCATTATAATTTTAATTTGCATTCCTCTTGTTGTTAGCAAAGTAAATTACCTTTTCATGTGTTTTGCAGGACATTTTTATATCTTCTTTTATTAACTGTCTGTTAAATCTCTTCCCCATTTTCCTATTAAGTTGGTGGTCTTCTTCATCTCCATTTTTAGAAGGCCTTATATGTTAAAGATTTTAGTAACACTTTGTCTATGATAAAAGTTGCAAATATTTTCCCTCAATTTGTAGCTTTTTAAACATCTCTTTTGCTATTGTTTCCATTAAAAAGTTTATTATGTTTATAAAGTCAATTATTTTGTTCTTGCTCCCTATTACTTCTGTGTTCTAAGGCATAATTAGCAAAGTTTTCCTGCTCCCAGGCTTAGGGGAGTTCACCAATGGTTTCTTCTATAATTGTGTGTTCAAGGAGTATGTTGATGAACAATTGAAAAATGGTACATTTCTAGAATAGGCAGTGTGAGAAAGGTATTATATAGTGTTAACGAGTCCAGTTGAAAGTTCCAAGTTTTATTTTTCCTTTTCCACCTCATTCTCAGGAACTAGTGAAAAGCACTGTGGACACAGTGACTTTCATCTTGTCCTTGAAGAGTTGAGGAGACCATGAGTCCTTTTTTTCCCTTGTGTTATCCTTTTCCCGAGTTCTTTCATCTACTCCCATACTACGAATGTTACCCTATTTTGGTGTCCCCCAAATACCCACATGTTCCATTCATGATTCTCTCCTCATAATTCTTTCCTCAATGCTAGATGCAAAACTTGTTTGATATCTCATATAAATGCCCCTGCACTTCACGCTTTAAATCTAAAAGACTTTCTTCTTCTTTTACCACTCTTCTTGTTTTATATGTCATCAATTAATGACCTCTCTGCCATTCGTCTACCTAAGCTCAGAGCCCAGTCACCTTTGAATCATATTTCTTAATTGTCAACCTCAATACATCATTACCAAGAGTACACATTTTGCCTCTGAAGATCTCTTCCTTTGTAGACGTTATAAACTGGATCTTTCCTGTCCTTGCTTTTTTCTCGTCAATAGGCACATGAAGTTTAACATACTCTGGGCACAGTAAGTAATCAGGTAATGAAAATAAATTTAATCCTCTCTTTAAAAATGTACAGAGATCATAAAACCTTTAAAATTATGGGTTTTCTAGCACTTTATATATGTATTTGTATTTACAAATGTCCTTGCGCTTCAAGTTATAAAAACTTAAGAGAGATTTAACTAAGAAGCAAGAAATGATTGTCCTTTTGAATACCTGGAAATGTTTTTGCCATATGAAACACAATTCCTTTACTATACTGAAGCGTCTCATTGAAGCACCTTGTGAAGCTGTGCAAATAGAGGCCAGTCACAAAGGAAATCTACTGATGACTAAATTCTCAGCAATCCAAAATGGGAGCATCAGAGGTCTCCTAAGGAAACAACTAAACCATTCATTTCTGTTTAAAAAACAAACAACAACAACAACAAAAACTCTCACTACCAGGCAAATGAATCTTTCAGCTTTCAGGCATGCCTAAGGCAAAATTCATTTTCTCTGTTTCCTCTTCTAAGGTTAAACGACTTAAACTCTCTCTCACACCCACCCATGCATACAGACACACTTCCCTAAATTTAAACTGTAGGTTGTTGTGAGGAAATCAACTTTTCCTGCTGTCATGCTACAAGATTTCTAATTTGAGAAACTATATATGTATATATGTGATCATCTCACAAATTGAAGAGAACTTACAAGGCCGCACTAAAGTATTCAAGCAATTCAAGCCTCTGTTTCCTCTTTTAACATTTCTGCAGAAGAAGTTGAATCCCAGGAGTATTTTTGAATTGCAAAGGGCAATGGAGGGTGACAGAATTGATTGGCCCTCAGGCTGTTATAATTCTCTATTAATCAGGGACTGTGGTCTTTTTCTCTTTCAGCTCCAGGCGAGGACACACCTAGAGTGCCTGGGAAAAGTGAAGGCTCCAATGACCTAGAAAATACTCCAGGTCCTGATGGTAAGGTTCTGAGCTATTGGAGCCCATGCAAACTACAAATCTGGCATATGTTCTATGTGTAATCTAGAAATAAGGGAGCTTATCTGTTCTATAAAGCAACATATTTGGTTAGAACAGGGTAAATTTCAAAAACCATTTTGTATTACAAACTAATAAAAATGGCAGCCTCTTATAAAAAAAAAAAAAAACAAACCTGTTGCTGTTTTAAAACATCATATGTCTTGGTTTAATCATATCTTATAATACTGAGGACTCAATAGATACTTTCAAGACTAAAGTGAACTGAAGTCTACCTAGTGAACTTTATGGAAGCATTACTTAACTTCTGCAAAAGGTACTTAGCCTCCTGTTACCCTGCTCCACTCAGCATTCGGGAGAGCCTTACCTTGGGTGTGGGCTAAGATTGTTCCTGTACCTTCATCACTTCACTCCACTCTATCACATCCGATGCCGTGGTTAAAAACATAGTGAGTCTTTAAAAGCACCTTAAAAATAAATTTTCAAAAAACCTTTAAAAACGTACATCTAATTTTGTAGGCATCTAAAGAGTCTGAGCCTCAGGAATATTAATATCCCTTTTCCCCTGCACAATGATGCTAAGGGCCCTTTGAAATACCATCACTTACACTAGAGAAACAGCTATTTGAGCCTATCTGATGTAATATGTATTTGATTCCACTGGCCCATAGAGTTTAGGAGAACCAGAATTGGTTAGGTGATCAGTCATTTAAGTATCTTGCCATTTGGGTTATTTTAGCCAAAGGAAAAAAACAAATTACTTTGAGTTGATAATGACCTTGGAAAACATTTAGCCAATGGTGGATGTTATTTGTAGTCTTAAATAGAATTTCCTATACCAGGTATTCCCTGCTCCCACCGGCTTATCATCACCCGAATTGCCTCCCTTAATTATAAGCCCGTTGGCTTATATAGCCCAAATTGACCTTTTACTCATGGGCATGCATTGCCCATGAGAACAACGTTTCTAAGCCCCAGACGCATCCATTAAGAGCCACTGCATGTTAGTTATGAGCAGTTGAACTAAACCTGCTTCAGCTTGGTTGTGATGCTATAGGCATGATTCTTAGCTAGTTCTTTACAAATCATGTTTTGAGGAATATCAGGTCCATGAATAAAAGAGAAGTAAATGTGAAATACTAAGTTTTAGTCCTCGCGTGGAGATTCGCCATACACAGTAAGGGATTGCAGGCTCTCAGAAGTCTCAGAGGTAAAGAGACTTGTTTAACATGATTTATTGTTGCTTTTCCCAAACTTATTTGATGATGGGATGCTTTTTATAGTACCATTTATTGGTAGGTTTTAGAACTAGTATCCCTTGGTTGGAAGAAGAAGCACTGTATTTTATCCTGCACACTCCCACACGGAGAAGGGTAAACTTACAATAACTTTGCAGAGCAGGATGGACGGTGGATGAATGCTTATACTTAGGTAGGGTTGCTGCATCTGGCCAGTTTATTTATGGGGTTTAAAATGAGTTCACACATCATTAGAAACTCAGGGCAGTTTGCAGGTGAGAACAAGGAGACCTGCTTTTAAAACCTTCCTTATTGGAAGAGAGTTCGGTGGATGCTGTATAACATCATTCTCTCAAGCCTCTTTGAAGTGTGAAAATCAGCATCTGCCACAACTTTACACTAATTTCATGTTTGTGAAAAAGCAGATATAGGCTGTTGCTTTTGTGCAAATACATGAAAACCGCCCAAATGAGAACAAACAGTGGTTACTTATTCAAAGGTAACTATAACAAAGGTGGCCATTATCACTTGTGTTTGGCAGGCTCAAAGGCGGGCAGGGGATGGGAAACCCCCCTTTATAGATTAAAAAAAGGGAATACTTCAAGCATCCTCTGATTGGAGGTTGTTGGCATAGAGAAGCTGGGCATGGCCAACTAGAAGTGGGGCACCTTAAGTGATTGTATTAGGGAATACATGTGACTTTCCCTGGTTGGTCCCAAGTTGGAAGCAGGGGCAAAAAATAGGAATGCTGACAGTCCCTGACCAAGTCCTAATCATTCTGAGTCAATTGCTGCAGAGACTGTGTTTTGGTTGCCTCGGCTAGCTTCTGCAGACGTTTTACATAAGAATTCTATCATTATATATGATCTGGTCATTGTCTATTTGTATATTCAGTCTCTCAGCTTATAATGTGGACTCTGATGCTTGAAAAAATACCAATCTAATTAAACCTACTGACCCTTGGAAATTTTTAGAGTGAATGCTATGCCTGCTCTGGGCTACTTCTGGAGAATGGCAGTAATCATGCATTCTATTTTTATGCAAATGCTCACATAGAATACACTGAGTCAGGTAAAAGCACGTGTTTTATCACGACTATGGGATCTAGTTAGATGGTCGGCTTTTTAATTTCATGACCGCTCACTGCCACTGCAGCAGCTATCTGCAAGTCTGCAAGGTCTGTTTTGAATTCTGAAATTGAGAGTACAGCAAACCAAACGGGCCTGATACTGACATTTTGGAGCGACCTGCTTACCTCTGCATGTCAGTGATGTGCTTTGCTTTGCCTTCTCTCTTTATTTTCTTAGATATCTATTAAAGCCTTTGAATTTATCCAAGAATCATAATATGTACATCCAAACTGTCAACCCCAAAATCTGGTCTGAAGTGATAACTCAGTTTCTACAGTTGAGGGAAGAAGGCAATCCTGCCCTCCTCCACTGAGTTAGGCCGTTTTTGTGTTGCTATAAAGGAATACCCAAGACTGGATAATTTAAAAAGAAAAGAGGTTTAATTGTCTCATCGTTCTGCAGTCTTTACAGGAAGCAGGGTGCCAGCATCTGCTTCTGATGAGGACCTCAGGAAGCTTACAATCATCATGGGAGGGGACGAGGGAGCATGCATCTCACATGGCCAGAGAATAAGCAAGAGAGAGAGGCAACATGTCACACACTTTTAAACAACCAGATCTCACGAATAAGCTCATTCATCACTAAGAAGATGACACTAAACCATTCATGAAGGACACATTCCTGCAATTCAATCACCTTTCACCAGGCCCCACCTCCAACACTGGGGATTACATTTCAACATGAGATTTGAAGGGGATGTCTGAGGTATATCCTCTCCTCCCACCAGTAAAAATCTACAAGAATAGTCCCCAAATCTTGAATGAATGAAATAAATGGAAAAGAGGCAACAAATAGGAAATCAGGAAAGTATCAAATCATGGGCCATTTTGATTGTCTCAGAGATTTAGGTTTAATGAATATTTAACTGTTTTTTTTTTTTTCTGGTGACAGTGGAAATGAATAGTCAGGTTGACAAGGTAAATGACCCAACAGAGAGTCAACAAGAAGATCAACTAATAGGTAAGATGCCCCTTGTGGTGAGATTTTCAATTGATCGACCAGCCATAAGAACTATTTGCAAATAACATGTTGGATTTCCCTCGGTTTTTGCCAAGTTCCCACAGCATGGTTTGGGATAAACTTTGAAAATCTTTAAACCAAATAACACAGCGTAAGGGGAAAGGATCACCCCTAGAAGCTTGCCATCTTGAAGGGGAAAAGATGAGCTACAGCACATTCAAATCATGTATACCCTGGTTTTCTGTGCTTTGACAAGTAAAATATGTCTCCATCCATCTCACTCCTGGCCTCCTGGAGTGGTCAAATTATTTCAGAAACTCCAAGGTGATTCTGAAGCATTGCTTTTCTAGAAGCTACCTGCTGAGTTACTTGGTATATCTGTCTTTAAGCATAACACTCAATCTTTGCCCTGGAGTTTGTATAAAGGAATATGAGTGTGTTTGGACAGAAACAAGCCCGCCTTAGGTCCTGTTTTTTCACACCACTACCTGTGGACTCGTGCATCTGCAGGAAGGTTTGTTACATTGAATGAGCTTCAGGGAACTCCCAGGAAAATAAAAAGCCTGGTCCAGACCATGTTTAGGAGTTTTTCCAGACCAACATTCTAAATCTCTCAATAGAGACTAAAGTATATTTAGAATGATGAGGGTAACTGAGTCCAAAGCCAGTACTGCTTGCTTCATGGCAGCCAGTTACATCAAGAGACAAGGTGTTGAGGCAAGGAAATGACTTTATTCCAAGAGCCAGCAAACCAAGAAGATGGCAAACTAATGTCCTAAGGAATCACCTTAAATTTATAGAATTTTAGGCTCCTTTTATCTTTGAGGAAAGGGAAGAGGGAGGTGGTTGAGATCAAGAGGTGACAGATATCTGGGCTACAGCAAGGGTCCAAGGGGGAGTTGTGAAACTTCTTTGCCCTTAGTCAGGTCACATTGCTCCTATAAATCTTTAACATAATGTTGTTACTTGTGTGCTTACTGTCTTTATCTCTTGCGTGGTTAGTTTTGGGAAGGAACTATTGTCATCTTTGCTTTAAAGTTAAACTATAAACTAAATTCCTGCCATTGTTAGCTCACCCTACATGAAGAGATGAGCAAAAGCAATTAACCTAAAAGATATCACTGGACGGGGGCAGCGGGGAGCAAAATGGAGCTAGTCATGCTAAGCCTCCTTTACACTGCTACATGAATGGTCTGTAATCCTCTTCCATACCCTGAGGGCTGATGAGAAGAATTAGAAGAAGGAAATCATGCTTGCTTTTATAACTGTTCCAACTCTTGGTTTAAAATATTTAGTTGAAAAAAAAAAAAAAACCTATGGAATAAATGAATCATGGGTCATCAAGTGTAAGGCACAAATGATACGTTGACACCCTTGCCCCCTATACCTCCCCCTATACCTCCTTGCACTCCCTGCATGTTCTTGATGGTTCTCTACACTTTCCTAAGAGGCTTGGCTGTACCATTTTTGTGCTCCAGCATCACGGAAGAATGAAGTTTGGGAATGCGTGAAAGAATACATGTCTTCTTTCTGTATGGTCTTGAACATCCTTTAAAACTAAATGTAATGGTATCTGTGTAATGCATGTATAGCATAAGACTGCTAAAAAGTATAAGCTCATACAAACATGTTCTTATAAACATTTCTTTTTTTTTTTTTTTTACTTTCTTTATATATTTAAAATATCCTGCTAAGCTGCAGAAATGATATGGTTGAGGAGTTTCCATTAAAAAGTAATGAAGTGAGACTAAACCTGAACAATTTAAATGCAAGCACCTCGGTGTTTCCTTTCCTTTTACCCTTTTGCTGCCAATAAACTATAGACTTCTTGTCTAGATTTTTTTTCTTACAGACATTATTACTTTCCTGTGTGACCAGTATCCAGATAAAGTGCCAGGATTACTCTGTTTTTCCTGGTTAATATCAAAATGATATTTTTCTTGAAAATAAAAATGAACTTATATGTTAACCCAAATGAATCAGGTGTCAAAACCCTTTGTTTTGTTGTTGTTGTTGTTGTTTTGTTTTTTTTTTTTTTTGAGACACAGTCTCACTCTGTCACCCGGTATACAGTGTAGTGGCACGATCTTGGCTCACTGCAACCTCCGCCTCCCTGGTTCAAGTGATTCTCATGCCTCAGCCTCCTGAGTAGCTGGGATTACAGTTGCATACCACCGTGACTGGCTAATTTTTTGTATTTTTAATAGAGATAGGGTTTTGCCATGTTGGCCAGGCTGGTCTTGAATTCCTGACCTCAAGTGATCTACCTGCCTCAGCCTCCCAAAGTGCTGGGATTATAGTCCAGGTATCAAAACTTAAAGTCCAAAATTAGTTTAAGGAAACTAAATTCTAGGAAGGAGAAGTGACATGCACAGGGTCACCTGGCTCATAAATGGAAATTTAAATACTCCAATTCAAAATTCTGCTCCCTAAGCAATAGCAAGTTTCTGGACACAGTTGTCACAGAGGCAGAATGAATGACTTGTGCAACATCACTGACTCCCACAGCAATATTTACACAGAAGGGTTTGTTAAGGTGATCTGGTCATTTGACAGGAAGAAGGAACCTTTGCTCCATGAATCATACCTTCCAGGAAATTAAAGAAATACAGTGAAATAGAGAGTTCAAAGACATAATACAAGAATGTTTGGCGTTGTATAATTTGTAATTGTAAAAAATCAGGGGTAGCATAAGGATACAACAGGGGGAGGGTTAAATGAATCAATGGAACACTTTCCAAATGTAAATGTTTTCCAACAAGTATTTGAGCGCAGTAAAGATGGTTATGGAATCTGAACCTTTGGTTCTGGAGAAACATGGAAGACTGAATGTGGCTTCTAGGTTGAGCTTTAAGAGGCTTGTAACTTCCATTTTTGCACTCTCATAATGCTCGCTGCCTGGAATCCAGACACCTTGGGAGAAGCCCAGGTTATCCTATAGAATGAAGGAAGTCACATGGAGAAAAGTCCTAGAAAATGAGAGTCCCTTTCAGATGTTCTGGCCCCAGCAGGTACCACCTCAAGCAGATGAACTGCCCAGCTGAGTCAAGGCCAGATGGTAAAATCATGAGAAATAATGAATCACTCATATTATAAGCCACTAAATTTTGGGCTTCAGATTGTTGATACAGAGACAGGCCTTTATGGCCACAGTCTTGCATTTTAATGCCCACCTTGGACCTTGAACCACTCAAGGTAAGGAGTTGGAACTGATACCTCTACATAAATAAATCTGGGACTTCCAGCTCAAGAAATTAACAGAAAGACTTGGATCTGCACCAGGTACTGCATGGGGAAAGAAAAAGGCTCCCGAGATAGATAGAAACCACAAATACACTGTGAGTTTGAAACACAATTTTATGTGATCCAAAGTCATGCAGTAATAAACAAATTGAAAAATGAACTTAATAATTGATTACAGACCAGTGTGATCCCTGGTGTATGTGGCAAGTGGAAATATGAAACTACCCCATGGAATTTCTGCAAAAGAAAAACAAATTCTGAAGCTGAATTTACAGTTTTAAGACTTACAGAACACACAAGGAAATGATCCATTTTGAGTGAGAATCAGTAGGTAAAATTACAGGACAATTAGCACTATGAGAATATAAGAGAGTAGGGAATTTTGAAGATTTTATAAAATAGCTACATTAGAATGACAAAACAGTTAAAAGCAGACATAAAACAATCAGAAAAGAGCAACACTAAATAATTAACAGCAATAGAAAAAACAAATTAAAATGTAGTAATATAAAAGACACACGAAGAGACAGGAAGGAGAGCAAGAGAATAACCAAGACATGTTAAGTTCAATAAGAGTTCTACAAGGAGATAAAGCAGTGTAGGGCTATGTATTTGATTGATACCCACCAAGCCTCTCCAGGCTTAATTTAATTTGGACTGAGATTACTGAAAACCAGGGACCGCAGATATAAAATACAGAACCACAATGAAATCCCGCCATGCTCCCACTAGTGTTGAATTATAAAGTTAACACCACCAAATGTTACAGAGGATGTGGAGCAGCTAGAACTCTTACACGTGGCTGGGGAACATATAAAATGGTTCAACCACATTTTAAAAAACTGTTAGTTTCTGGTAAAATTAAGTATATATCCATCCTGTGACCCAACAATTCTGTTCCTATTTGAGAGAAATGAAAACCTCTATTCACAAAAGCCTTGTACAAGAATATGCATAGCAGATGTGCTCACAAAAGCCCCAAACTTAACACGACACAAATGTCTAGCAGCAGGAAAATGAACTTTAAAAAGTGACATATACATACATGGGAATTCTAGTTAGCAACGAAGAGGAACAGATTAACAAAGCAGCAACATGAACGAATCTCAGAAGCATTACGCTGAGTGAAAGGAGATAGACACAAGGAGATACTTGTATGATTCCATTTGCAGGGAGTTCTAGGGCAGAAAAGAACTAATTTATGGAGATAGAAATCAGATCATTTGTTCGTTCCAGCAGGAGTGGGGTAATAGGGAAGGGAACTTTCTGGGGTGATGATATAATGTATATCTTGATGGTGGTGTGGGTTTAATGTATGCATTTTTCAAAACAGATTGAAATGTATGCTTAAGATCTGTTTTCCTGTAGGCGGATTACACCTCAATTTTAAAAATCTAAAAAAATAAAACGTATAGGCTCTTCTGGGGCACAGTGTCTTCTTAGCATTCCCTCATGGGTAGTGAAAAAGGCAGATAATTTAATAAATACAGTCTGAAGTGATGGCATAACCATCAATGACTTTTGCAAAGCAGCATTATGAAAATTGTTATTTTTATATGCTGATCCCTGGAAACTAGAGCGTGTGCATGGGCCTGAAAAGGGAAGCCACATCAACTCAGGGTCACAGTTTTCAAAGAATACTTTGAAGAATTGAGTGAATCGTCCCCATCAGCCAAAGCTCGTTGTCAATGTGGCATACATTTATTAGCAGTGATTTATATGCTCTTTAAAGATATCATGTGCCAGCAATTACAGCTCAGATATCCAAAGCTCTTTGATAGTCAAATAAGATATTCCTGGGCCTATGTGAGGGGTGAGAGACATTTAATGGCTGTATTAAAAAGGTATTCCTTGCTAAGCCTGTGAAGGTGTCTTATCTTTAATCTAACAAATGGCTTCTCTTTGTCTTCAGCAGGGGCACAAGATGAAGCGAAGGAACAAAGAAATGGAACTAAATGACAATCCTCGGTATCGCAAGGCCTCTCCTGGCTCTGGGGGAGTTCGGGAAGATAGCAGCACACGCTGTGGAGGAGGGTGGGGGTGGGGGGAAGGCAAGTCCCACAGAAGGACGGGGAATCCTTTACTCTAATTTCTCCAGCTGCATTTTGTTCCGTTTATCTGCAGAAAAAGAAAGAAAAAAAGAAAAAAAATTCCTTTAATTTGGTGGAGGGATCCACGTTAACGCATCTTTCAGGCATTATCCTTGTAATCTCTGTCTTTTCTCTTACAACTTGGCCCCAGGGTCACAGTGGCTTGGTTGAACAATCACATGTGTATCCTGGCCCCGTCTGCTTTCTTGGTTATTTCACAAAGCTGGTCACACAGTGGTGTATTCAAAGGAAGGGGAGGAAGACAGTTGTTTAATGAGCTGCAGGCTACATTTTAGGAATCAATGGGCCCAGCAGCAGTATAATCCCCAGACAGAGGAGGCAGGATAGAAAATGGGCAAAAGCCTTGGAAACCACTTGGAAAAGGTCTGGACAGTGAGGTGAAAATATTTTCTTCAGGGATTCCCAAGGCACAGTTTATTCCAAGTGGCTAATGAGAAATATGGAAGGTGAATTTTTTCCAGAGCAGAGTGCAGAGGCATAACAGAAGGGTGGGCCCTGGCAGCCATCTGGGTCTCTTCCTTCCTAACCAGGGTGGCAGGTGCATCCTTCTTTCGCATTGACTTTCAGCAGAGCTTACTTGGTTCACGAGGTCTTCACATGGAGACCACCAGTGAGAGGTGACTCTTCGCCAGATAACTGTAAAGGATGGCCCTTTGCTAGGTGTTGCAGTTAAAAGCTAAGACAAGGGGCACTGCATTTAGGACCCAAACATACGCCTATGAATATCAAAAGCTCCTCCTGAAATCTCTGTATGTTTTCCATAAAAGAACATCCTGTCTTCACCCAGGGCTTGACAGCCCACAGAGTAGTCTCATTTGAAATTACAGGAAATTAGAGTTTTTGCTTGCAGTTCTGTCTTCCTGGTCTGTGTTTAAATGGTGTCACTTGTTTATGCCAAGTTCAAGGCTGATTTGATGGTTGTTCCCCTCACCCAGAAAACCCTGAAGGGGAGGATACAGCCCTGAAGGGGAACAGCAGTACTAAAAACCCAAGATGCCAGTGGGCACAAGGGATGGCGATCTTGAGGAGGCCAGGTGTCGTCACCGGTATCTATCCTAGAGCCAGTATAAGGCCAGACGCCTACTTCCCACAGCCTCCCCGGGTTCCAAAGTCATGTCATTGTTTTCAGTGGAAACATATCGTTTGTTTCATATCTTCTTAAATCCATCTTCCTTATAAGGGCTTTAGAGTTAAAACTTATTTATATTGTTTTTCCTAACAGAGGGAGAAAAAGAGTGGATTGAGTATTATTTCTAAAATAAAAGGATGCTCTGTTTTCTAAATATTCCATCAAATTCTTCAGTTTTGTACTTTTTCGATGGAAAATTCATCTTCTTATCTTCCTATGACTTTAGTTTTAGCCTTTCTGAATTTGTTACCCCTTCTGGATGGCTTATTTGATATACTGGAATAGTTAACAAGTTATACTTCAGCATACGCCATATATTCTAACAAAACTTTTTTAAATAAAATGAAGACATCAGCAAGAATGACATTTACGTGACCTCATAATGTGGGATTATGGCCTTCTGTTGCTATTCCAGTTTGATATGGAAGCATCTATATCCTCTATTGCCATTAGATGTTGCTTTTTGGAAAAGCAAAGAAAAGGCTCATTTTAAGGAATCCAAGAAATGATGTCATCCAAATATTGACAGTTTCTATATTTCACGCCATCTTTATAACTCAGTTGAAAGTTGCCATCATTCTTGTGAAGTGTTTGACAAGTACAATCTGCTAGAAGCTCGTTTTTCTCGTGACTCCCAAATGTTAGTGCTACTCAGCCTCAGTAATGAGTTACAGTTGAAAAAAACATGAGGGAAACAGAGGGACAGAGATTTTCTAATGAACAATGATGGAAGAGACCTAATGTCCTCGCTAGAAACAGCCAGGATGGGAATTATCCAGCCCTGGCATTCTCCTTATCATCAATGACAGTCATTTAATTCATTTATTTTAAATTGGGTGGGGTAGAAGTGGAAGGAGGGAATTATCTGCCTAAAAATTCTAGAAGAATGAAAGTAATCTTTGTATCTAGGAAGCTAAGAGAATAAGGAATAAATATCTTCAGCCCCACTCCTGAATTTGATTTATCTTCAATCTGTAATTAGATTGTGTTTTCATTTTTGCTTCGTCATGCTTGTTGGTTGCTATTTGGCTACACAGTTTTATGCTTTAAAACAAATGATAAAGTTAATTTCCAATTCAATAGTGAAATATTAACAATCTAACTATAGCCAGATCAAAGACACCTGAACACAGAAAACCTTCATTTGCTGGTGCTGCCATTGGCTGGCTGTACAATGGAATAGATTTGAAAAGCTGATTGATTTTCCTGCACATAAATTCTGGATGTCAATTTCCAACCAAACTCCAATCCAGCTATGTGGCATGAAGGGTTACAGGAAGGAGGGAGGAAAATAACCCTATGTTAGTCATGTTTGCATACAGAGGACCAAAGTAGGCCTTCAACATAATAGTTCTAATTAAAATGGTCCTCGCTGTAGGAGAGACAAAGGGGCTTTTCCTCTAGCTGGTAACTATTCAGATGATGGACAAGTCTTCTTTCATAAAAAATTACAAAGAAGGCATCCGAATCACTGTCTGTGATACTGGGTCACATATTAATCACCGCAGCTAATTGTAAATCTTTCTATGAAACACTGAAAAGCCTCTTTGTGAATTAATACAGTTCTGCTTGATGCACTTGATTTGAAAAGACATTTCTCTGTATGTGGTGCATGTCGGCTTTGCTTTGAAAAATAACAAAGTTAGCAGAATATGTTCAATATATTTTCTTGGGGAATAGGGTTTTTATTACATGATTCATTAAGGATTTGCCTTACCCTGACATTTGTGATATAAAGGAAAATCAGAAAAAAAGTAATTTTCTTGATCAAGGTATGTTTTTACTTAACGCAAATAAATGTAGTCTGTTGCTTGCAAGGAAAAAAAAATGGCTTCTGATATCTGGTATAAACTGCTAAATAGGATAATACGTGCCTCTTTTGTTAAACCAGCATTTAAATGCTGGACTGCTTCTAAATCTGTTTGTTTCTTTTCATCTGTGCCATACACTAAAAAACAACTGTTGCCTTCATACTATATTTGTTAGAGCAGAATACAAATAAAATTTGAGAGGATAATGTGAAATTATCTGTGTTTTGTGAAATTTGTTCTTTAGCCACAAGTAATGAGTAATGAAAAATACTCACTTAATACGATTTGACTGCAAATATATGTGAGAGTAAAATTATTACTGTAAGTCAGCTTTAACTTACTGATAGTTTTCCCTTACTAAGACTGGTCAGCGTGTTGGCCGTGTTTTTCTAATTTTAAACTATAGAGTAGTTTTGTATAGATGCAAATCCCAGTGTCTAAGTTTTCGCTGAATACCAGATAATTACTTACCCCTAGCATCAGCCTCTAAGATGCAGGATATAAGTCGTTGAGATAAAGCCATTGGTCCTGTGAATGTTGGTCTATCTTTCAGAACCCATGACCATTGCTGGAATTTTTAATGAGCACCTCTTATGAGCCAGTCACTACGCTGACACGACAACCATGGCAGCAACGATTCTCAGTCTACTGTTGATAGAACAGACAGAATTACAGAATTATTAAGAACTTAGCAATGGGTCATCAAAAAACCACTACAGGAAAAACTCAGCGTTCCTTTGAAAATGGAATATGCTTTCCATCAAATGTAGCTCCCTTCATCTCCTACAGAAGTGGCACCAGTGTTATTATTTGAGGAGGCAATAAAGAAAGCCAACCGCTTTATCAAATAAAGCCAGATACTTAATAGTTTAAGGATAACAAATTTTTTCAAACTGCTGTACCACCAGAGTGTTTTTCCCATAATAAACAAGGTTGGATGAGACAAAAATTATAGATAGGACAGTCTTACGCTGCAATGGACAACCTCAACACAAATGCTTCAGAATGGCAGTGAGGATAATGTGACATGGCCAGGTGCAGTGGCTCACACCTGTAATCTCAGCACTTTGGGGGGCCAAGGTGGGCAGATCTCCCGAGGTCAGGAGTTTGAGACCAGCCTGGCCAACATGGTGAAACCTTGTCTCTACAAAAAATACAAAAATTAGCCAGGCATGGTGGCGGGAGCCTGTAATCCCAGCTACTCGGGAGGCTCAGGCAGGAGAATCGCTTGAACCCAGGAGATGGAGGTTGCAGTGAGCCGGGATCACACCACTGCAATCCAGCCTGGGTGACAGAGACTCCATCTCAAAAACAAACAAAAAAACAAACAAAAAAGAACAAAAAAAAAAAAGAAGAAGAAGAAGAAAAAAAAAGATAATGTGACATGATTCTAGCCCTGCTAGATGCAGTTTTTCATCTCCAGACAATTTTCATATCTTTGCCTGGCCCTCTTACGTTTCTGCCCCAACATTTCTGCCCCCATGCCTTGCACTGACCAAAAGTGCCAACAAAGATTGCTTAACTCTGCTGGTGGTTCTCAGGGCTGAAAGGGATAATGGTACCAATTTAAGTTGTTCTCGCCAAGACTGGCCTAGCTGTGGGGTTTTGAGAACTAAACTGCCTCTGTTTCTTCGTTTAGAAGATGTAAATACTAATACATAACTGAACTCTCTTACAAATGTAAAGATGAATAAAATGCCAAAATATGATACTTTAACGTGTGGAAAAGCACTTGGTAAATTATTAGCATCAGGTTATGCTATTCGGTACTGTTGGCAAATGGTCCTTTCTCTAGCTGAGGATGCTCCACAAAAAGAAGAAATGATTTTTACAATTAGTAAATACAAAATTTTATTCTACTGAAGTTGATTTAAACTTTGCCCTCAAATTAAGGACCCATGAGGTTAAGGAAATTGTTTTGCTATAATTTAGAGAAGTGGGAAATTTGAGGTCTTAAAATTAAAACATCTACACACTGACAAAATTACTGATGGCGTGAATTTTTTAAAGTCATCATTTCTCTGATAATAACTAGCGAATCTGTAAAGAAAAAAGGCGGTACACTTCTCTCTACTTCTTGGTCCACATGTATAAGAAGGACATAGACTGGCAAGGAGATAACTATACCAATATGCTCTTCCCTTCCCCAGGGGAGGATTATACTTCCTCGTCCTACTGAAATTGGACATCACTGTGTAATTTCGTTTGTTCAATATGTGGGCAGAAATGGCATGTGTCACATCAGGCAGAAGCATGAAGACTCACGCTCTATTCTTTCCCCTATGGTAATAATCACCAATATCCCAGACAGGCTGACCTGTCACCATAGATCCAGGAGTGAAGACATAGAGTGGAGTTTCAGGCAACCCGAGTGAGAAGGTGGCATGACTGAGAAATAAACTTCGTTTTGAAATTTGGGGGTCATTTGTTACCCTATGGTAACCTGTCCTATACTAACTGATACATAGGCCATCAAAACATTTAAGTAAAAAGGGTAAGAATCTAAATTATCCTCTTTTCCAACCTCTTCTTTGGTAACTCTCAACTTGGTTTACGATGATGCCAGCATATTGGCCTTCCGTCCACTGCTAGAACAGGCCAAGTTCCTTCCATCCTTAAGGCCTCTGAACTTGAAAGCTCTTTCTTCCCATTCTCAAGGGTCTGGTACTTTGTCATCCCTGAGATCTCAGCTATAATGTCACTTTCTAGACATGCCTCCCCTAGTGGCCAAGTTGAAAATAGATCTCTTTTCCCTACTTGTGTTTGCCTATCTAGCTCCTATTTGCTATTTCAGAACACTTACAATAATTTTGTAATTGTTTATTTGTTTATAGTGTAGAGATAAAAATTATATGTCACAACTTAGATGTACAAAATAATGTAGCTGCTCTCCAACCCCTGACCCACGCCCCAGCCCCAAAAAAAACCCCTGAGTTTATCTTGTTTCCAAGCTCTATTCAAATGGTCAGAGGGAGTTGTGGTAAAAGAATTTAAATTTGTCGAGTAAAGGTATCTAGTCATTTCCAGTGTAAAATGCTTTGGAATAAAGATTTGGTCAGATTCAAGGTTTAAACTCCACACTAATGCTATTTCCTGTCACCTAAATTTTGTGCCCTTCTCATAGAGAAAGGCCCTTTCTTTCTTTCTT